AATAAATAAATAAATAAAAAAACAATAAGAATTATATTTTCACTGCAAAAATTCTGAATCTAGATAAGTCATTTTTTCTTAAAATAAGTGCATTTGTTCTTGAATTGAGGAGGTAAAAGAGAAATTTTGCCAATGGAACAAGACAATTTACGCTTTAAATAAGAAAACACAATTGCATTGTCTTATTTCAATTGCATATTATCTAATGATCTTATTTTAAGAGTAAAACTACTCATTCCATTGGCAAACTATCTCATTGCCTGCTCAAATTAAGGGTGAATACACTCAATTTAAGACATTTTTACTTATTTCTAGGTCGTTTTTGCAGTGTTGAGGTTGTATGCTGCGCACAATATTAAGCAAGCTTGATAAAAAACTTAGAAAAATTAAAATCAGGTGTTCCTTCCTTGGCTATGCTTTCCAGATGTTTTTCAGTGTGAAACTGAAAAATGCACAGAATTATGGATCGTTTTGGACAAACTTGCCCCCACTTCCACGCTGCATCAGCCACTGAAAAAAAAAATAGAGGTTGACAGAACTTAAATTAACTAGGCTTATTATCTTGGTTTTTTGAGTTTTCCTTACTTAAATTCACTCTGGTTGAGTTTACAAAGATTTTTGAGTTCTGCCAACTTAGGTTTTTGAGTTTCACCTTGAAGTTCTGAGTTCTATCAATTTTGTTTTATGAGTTTGACATATAGATTTTGAGTTCTACAAACTCAGATTTTGTAGTGTTATCTGTAAGTTGAGTTCTATCAACTCAGTTTGTTTAGTTCTACCAATCGTCTTCACTACCCATCATTCAACACACAAAAAAATATGTTTATGCACCATTTTTATTGCTTCAAGTCAAACATTGTATCGATAGATACAGTATAAAGCCATGTTCAACAACATAATCTTAATTGCACAGAGCAAAGTAACCTGAGAGCCTCTTGAGAACTGCACTTTCCTCTCCACGTGTGCGTGTGTTTGCGTTAGCTTATTCAGGGTTAAGGTTAAACGCGAGGGAAAAAGGCTGTGCACTTGAAGAAAGGGATAGGAAACCGCGTACCGTAGTAGGCGTGTCCATGAACATGAGCAGTGCGCATGCCCATGAGTTTACAGTTGAGGGAACTCATAAAATCTTGTATAGGCGATTTAAAACTCCTTGTTAAACCAACTTCTGAGAATTTGAGTCGGGCAAACATGAATATATTTGTTAGATGTCAAATTTATATTTCTGAGTCAGATTACAATACAATTGTGTGTTAGAACAACAATTGCCATTTACTTTTTTAACCCACAGCTAGTTGTCCCTCTTGCGTTGTGGCGTGGAATAACTCAGTGCAGAGCACGCTTCAAAATTAGGCATAAATCCAAAATACCTGCGACAAGTTCACTGCGGTACACTGCTGCAGGAGGGTAACCAGCACTTTAGAGCTTTAATGTTGTTCTGGGTTTTTCCCAGCACCTCTTGGGAAAGTCGCTTCTCGCCAGATTTTGTGCTGATACAGTATGTTGCTTCCAGCGAGATTTTAGCCTATTTGATTCTACGCCTTAAGCAGTAAGCCAGCTTGCATGATGCTAATTAAAATGGACTTCCTGGAGTTCTTTATCAAATGGAACCTCGGTTAGTAACTGCCTTTTGTTTTTCTGGAGTTAGTCAGTCAATAGAAACTTGTCTGTTTTGGACAAGTTTCTATTGACTGACATCAATGGGCTTCCTCAGAACACACGTCTGCCGCCGCCGAGCTCAGCAGAAAAACCTCTTTTGAGAATCTTTTCTCTGGGCTTGCAGAAAGAATTGCAGAGCAGCTGTCAGACGGGTTTGTTGCTGCTCCGTGTTTGCAGTGTCAGTCAGAGGAAGACGCTGGGTACGAACACACTGCGGCTGTCACCGCGGCACCCAGAGGCTGTCAGTCAGCCGCTCTGCTCCTGTCAGAGACTTCAGGCTGGTTCCTGATCTCCATATCTGACGGAAACCTGAAGGTCATCTTTGAGGCAAAGGTGGAGCTGTGCTCATTGGAAATTTATCAGACAGACACAAAAGCAACAACCAGGGTCACTTTTTAGTTCTTCCTCAGACCACTGCAGCTTTTTACTGAGATGTGAGACGCTCGGTTCAAACCAGATTTTCCCTTTTTTTTTGTGGGAAAACTTTTACTTCCTTTCTGTCCCCATTAAACCGCTCCAGTATCACTTAAATCCGGAGCTTAATGGATTTTACTGTAAACCTTGGATCTTTGCTCATTCTTTTGTCAATGTTGTTTAAAGTCTGTTATTGAGAAGTTGTTCAAACATATAAAACAATTTAGATAATTTTGCCTCTTTTTTTACCTTCCTACCTTAAAGTTAAAATAATTCCAGTAGGATTAGTAGGGATCCACTTCATTATTGATCTACTACCTTGTGTAGAAAATTGCGGCTAAATGATGTAAGATGTCATCAAACCAATATTTAAAGTAGGGATGCACGATATTGGGATTTTGGCCGATATCCCATATGCCGATATTTTAAAACTCATGTAGCCGATAACCGATATCGATACCGATGTTAAAGCTGGACAAAAATAAGTAGTCATTGAAAATAGCAGTTTTGTTATCCATTTCCTACAAACTAAAACCCAATACATTATTACAGCAGGAATCGGCCAAAATTACTGGAAAAACACTGGAAAAAATCAACATCTAAATAAGTCATTTTTTTCTTGAAATAAGTGCATTTTGTCTTGAATTGAGGAGGTAAAAGAGACATTTTGTCAATGGAACGAGACAATTTACACTTAAAATAAGAAAACACAATTGCATTGTCTAATTTCAAGTGCATTTTATCTAATTATCTTATTTTAAGACTAAAAATACTCATTCCATTGGCAAACTATCTCATTTACCTACTCAAATTAAGGGTAAATTAACTTAATTTAAGAAACTTTTGCTTATTTCTAGATCATTTTACCAGTGAAAGTGTTTTAAGAAATTTGTGAAAGGAAACCCAAATATTGAAGCTCATCATACGGTTTTAAAAATGGAAACTTTTTAACATGAAATTGAATTTTTTTTTTTTTATTTAGCTGCAAAAAACAAAACAAAAAAAAATGATTTTAACTGATCCAAACCTTTTAGCTGTAAGTTCTAAGTAACTAGACCTGTCTGGGTAGTTTAATCCCAAGCATGACACCGCCGCCACCATGTTTAACACATGAGCTGCTCCTTTCCATCAACATCCCTTCTGCTTTCCACATATCTGAAAGTTCATCTTGTCAAACTTCTTCCAGACTCCTTCGCTGGCATAACTGATTTTTAATCAATTTTGAAATCTCAAAAAGTTGTTTTTCTTCTGGTTTCTCCTTTTTTTTATTTTGCTTCTTGCTTTGCAGAATCCTTGTTTCTGTGCATGACGTATTCTAGCAAATCTCTCTCCCAACACAGAGCTGACATGCGACTTTTGACCGTACGGATGGAGTTCTTAAGTTTTTCTTTTCAAATTTTCATAGGTTGCTAAATCTTCTCTGTTGTAAATCGTGTCCTGGAGAAACTCTGAGGCCCTTCATGAGTGAAACAGAAGGACAGTGAGTGGAAATCAGACTGAAGTTGTGTGTTTTAGTTTGGAGCCGTGGTAAATGGACTGTTTGGACTCAGATGGGATCAGAGCAGAAAGTACGGTCTGATTTAAAGCCAGCGGAGGTAGTTGTGTAATCTCAGACCTCACAAACTCTGTCACATTCAATTTGGCTGTAATGGAGGTTTTATGGCTGCTGCTGTTGGCCGACCAACTCTGAGCTCATCAGTATTAAATCAAAACAGCTGGGACTCTTTCCTGATCTCAAAAAACAACAATATGGTTAAACTAATGGACCTTAAACCCTCCATGCTTAAAAATTTAACACAAACCATGAATAACCGCTGAAGATCAGTGATGGTTTTAACAGTGTTTCCCTCTGGGCTCTGAGTATTAGAAACAGAAACAATGTTTAATTTTATATCAGCCATGATTGGTAATAAGTCAATGAGCTGCTGTTAAATTATTCAGGTATAACTTTCAATTAGATTTATTGGCAAAATTCTTAAAACATTTGGCAGCAAATCTGCCGAAAAAAAAT